TTTGGATGTTGTTTCATCTTTCACATTTTCATTTGATCTTTTACATACTTTTTTTTTTTAAAGAAAGAAATAATCAGATAAGATATACACCCCTATCCTATGCATCCTAATAGATAGTATATGTATCACATTTCAAGCATCTTAGTATGTAGTGCATGCATCTTATCTCATGTACATCATAATAAGATAATACATGCATTCTATCTCATCCACATCAATAGATAGTACATGCATTCTATTTCATGCAATGCATCCTATATGTATCAAGTAGGTGGCGCATGCACTTCATCTTATCATGGATAATGAAATTTTATCATTTAGGGCTTGGTACATATGAAAATCCATTGTTTTAGGTATATTTGCATTTCATGACTTGTTTTTACATCCTTATCATATTCATATATTCATAAACATACTTTTTACGCCAAATAAGTTAGAAATTATTTTATGACATTCATTCAATAAAGGTAATAATATAGAATTTTCGGTTTAAGTCTCAGAATAAAATGTCTATCTTGGTGGGAATCAAAATGGCAAAAATTAGATATCAATTGAAAGTAAGAATTAGTGCATTGGAGTTAAATTAAGAGAAAATTTTGGTGTGACCTTTGGGAGATGAAACAACAGATTGCTTAATTGATAGAATTGGTTAAAGGTAGTGGTATGGTTAAGTTTGTTGTTCATTATAGAGTGCTATCACTTTCGATTCCATCAAATCAAGATCAACTGGCTTCTATTAGTTTCAGCACATTTTTCAAGCATACTAAGCTATTAGATTATTCGGACAGTGATCAAAAAACACATTATCGACGGATTTACCAACAAAAAATTTCGTAACTAATTATAGACGAAAAATTTCATAGGTAAAATCATCACTAATAAATTTTTTGATAATTACCAATGGATTTTCGTTGATAATTATCAATGGATTTTAAGCATTAGTGACGGAATAGCCTTAACGACATAACTAGCATCGACGAAAATTTTTCATTAGTAAAACTGTCATTAAAAGTATTACTAACAAATTTTTTTATTTTTTCCGTCGATAAAGCCTATTTTTCTTGTAATGTCACAAGTATGAGTTTAAATCTCAACTTATATATCATAACAGATCCTTAGAATATCCCAATATGAAGTTGGAGTATCACAAACTTCCTTGTTAAAACTTGACGTTCTCATTAAATCCAACACAAAGCACATATAGAACTACAAAACTAAGATCACACTACATGTTGGGATTCTAGAGGTTGCTCTCATCATGTAGAATTTAACTCATGTAAGATTCTAAAGGTGTTTTTCATGATATAGCACTTAATTTTTATCTGACTGGTACCACTTTGATATCATTTGGAGAGACCTACACTTAATCTATGATGTATTATCCGTTTTAATTCGAAGATTTTATAATTTTATCTCACAAAAAATATCTTATAAATATGAGTTTAAATCTTAACTTATATATCACAATAGATTTTTAAAACATTACGATGTATTATTAAGGTGTCACAAAAACAAAAAGTCTCCACAATCATTTCTTTGAAGATTACCTTAATCATCTCCTATCCAAGCAATCAACCAAGGAATCAGAAGCCTTTGGCCATTCCTTTAAAAATCTGCTCATCTTCACTAGTTCGTGACCAAGTTTTCGCACATGAAAATCATTAAAGTTTCTTCTCTATTGCAAAAGAAACCATTTGGAAGATTTGTCAATCACTTCGTTCGAGATCAAGCTGTCAAGCCCTCGAACAGTGTTGCTTCCAAAGAGATCGAATAAGAGGATTATTTTCTTGTATAGAAAATATCATACAGAAAATTGTACCAAGAATTTAATTTAATAAAAATTGATTTTTGTTACTTTATTTGAGTTCTAGATTTTCAAACACAAAATTTGTGTACTTTAATGTCTGCAACTTTTTTTTTAATTTTTAAACTATAATCTTTTTTGTAAATATATATATGATTGATAATAAAAATTTTCCTTTTTCTTTCCGATAAGATATCATTTATTTATATATGCTGACTTTATTTTCAGCCTTACTTTTTAGCAAAGATTGTCAAATAGTAATTATTTTTATCTTTTTCTCAACATCTAAAATTATGGTTATATTCTATCAAATTTTGAATTTCAAAATTTCATATGTTTCTTTAAAATTAGTGACCATCTTAAATCTTATCAGCATTTCTATTCTTTTGGTATATAATATTTATCATAGATTGAATTATAATCACTGAAATTAAAAATTTAACGTACACTACAACTATAATTAAAATGTAGAATATCATCAGTCAAGCAAGATCTTGCAGTCTACTCTGCTCCAATCTTCTATTCCGTGGCTGACTAGGGTTTGAAGGGTTAATCAATGAGGACTGGGCGTGATTATTGGAGTACTTTCAGATAAGATTTGGATGTATTTTCAATCCTTTTCATTTTAATCAAACAAGTTGGACGCATTCAGTATGGGTCTATTAACATCAACATCCAATGGCATATTTATCAAACTCATCATTAATAATTCAATATACACATTTAATACATGACGAAGCTCATTGCAAAACCAAAGAAAAAATGAAATGAAATGTTAGATCAAAGTTGATCTCAAAAATCCAAATTTATTATATCCATATTTAGTCAACTGAGAAGTCTATCTTAAATATTGTTTGACATACAGTTTGACACAATTTAAAATATAATATGCTAAAATGACATAAAAGTTGTATGAAAAAATAATACAATTAAAAAAAATCGTTTATAGATTTGACAAAAATAAAAAAATATATTTTATGTTAAGTTTTTTAATACGAATTATGATATAATAATTTTTATATTTTATACGTATTTTAGATAAATTAAATATGACCATAATACATAAATTATTAAATTTACATATTGACATACTTCATACATGATTTTATTAATTCTAATACTCAAAACAAATGGATTATTACTTGTAAGTTGTAATTTGTAATTAAAAATTACGGTGCGCAAGTATCTAAGCAATCTCTATGCTTCACTGGTACATTTAAAATTATGGGAAAAAAAATGATATAGCTTCCCATAATCCTGAATGATTTGTTTACCTAAAATTTACATTCAGTAGACTTTTTGAATGATCCTGAACCATAAAAACCTTAATAAATGCAGTCTGAAAACTGCCCTTTGTTTGTTCCTGGTGTTAAGGGCAGATGTGAGCCCTACAAAACATAAGAACCTTGGTATCAGCATCGGAGTTTACCCAACCAGGGGGGTTGAACCCACCGTCACTACTGACTTTCTTGAATCTATCAACAGGGGTCTAGTGGGGCTCAAGTCGGCTGAGATAAAAAATATTTTAAAATTATGGGGCTCAAGTCGGCTGAGATAAAAAATATTTTAAAATTATGTGTTCTAAATACAATTTAAAAAGTTTTTATTGATCAATTTATTTGTTGTTAAGATTATTATTGATTTTATTAATTGTAACTGTTATAATATAGAGCATTTTTAGTAATAAACATTTTAAAAATTTAATTGTGTAATCGAATAAAAAATCAATGATTAAATGATAATTTAATTGTATACATTAAGAGAAAGCATTTTCACCAATAAATATTTTGAAGACTCAATTGTATAATTGAATAGAAGATAACTAAAATAATAAAAAAATTCTTAAACTTTATAATTTTATTTAAATAAATCTTTATTTTTTCACATTTAAATAAGTTTTTAATTTTTAATTTATATCAAATAAATTTTTAATTTTTAATTTATATCTAAATAAATCTTTAAAATTTTAATTTGTATCTAAATAATCTTTAATAAAATTATTTTTCATTTGAAATAAAAATTTATTTGGATACAAATTAAAATATAAATATTTATTTAGATATAATAAGAGTATAAGATTTATTTAAAGAAATAATTCAAAGGGCGTTTTAGTATTTTAGTCAGAAAAGATCAATGATTAAATGATAATTTAACTGTACAAATTAAAAAAAAAAAAATGTATTCAAAAGGATTGATAACGAAACCAAACCCCGTTAAGTGAAATTTATGCCTTTGCTGACTATAACACGTCTTTCAATTCAATGCGGTCCAGACAAAAAAAAAAAAGTTAAACATATGTTTGTGTTTCATCAGTTTTTCACTTTTAAAATATAAGTTAATATGATCAATTATCTTAAATTATAATAAAATATTTAATATAATATTTAAATTTAAAAATTTTTTAATATAATATTTAAATTAGAAATATATTATTTAATATGATATTTTAAAAAATAACTTATTTTTATCATTCAAAACTACCTAATCATATTAAAAATAAAATTATATTAATTAATAAATTTATAATTTTTATATCATATTAAAAAAATTTTAAATTTAAATATTATATTAAATATTTTATTAAAATTTAGCTGCTATTCACGATATTAACCCTTAAAAAATCTCAGTTAAGTTCACTCTGTCAAGTCAAGTCTTATCCGTATGCATGTCTTTCACCCACTTGCTAGATTCTCAGTGACTTCAGATATCGTGACTGGTCCATACTCTAATTTATAAAGCTTTTGTTTCTAGTTACTCAGTTCCTGATAACTATGAAACTGATTTTTCATTAGTAGAACTTTCACGATTTATTGTTGACTTTCATGTTTATCCCTTAAGGGATACGACAAAATCATAGGGAAAAACAGAGGCTGTAAATAATGATACAACAATTTGTGATATCCATTGTTGCAATTTGAGAACAAAAACAATAGTAATAGACTATCATTATCAAATTCATTTAATCCGATAAATATATACTTCCTAACAAAAGAGTAGGTCAAATTGCTAGATCTTAATTTTTTGTTGCTTGTATGAAATTTTGAAATGAAATTCAGCAGCATATCAACACTATCATTTTTTTTAAGAGTTTGCATAAAAAGAAAAGAAATTTTGAACTCATATTTAATTTAATTAATTTATATAATTACATTTAAAAAAAAACATTCATCATGTTTAACCTTTATTTTTACTTTCGAACAACGATCCCTTTGTACCCAAACAAAAATAAAAGAAAGAATCTAAATATTCAAGATTCACCAACTAAATGTAAAATATTTAGTAAGTAATCATATCCCATAATTGCTGATAGTGATTTCAACAGTCATCGTGCCCAATATATATCAAAACTTAAAGCAACAGCAATGACCCTTCCAAGAGTCCTTGTCTATTCTGATGATGCCAAACGCCGTTCAATTCTTCCAAGCATTTAAAAGGAAAAGAAAAAAGAACAAAGAGATAAAAGATTGACAAGAGAAAAGGAAAATGGCATTTACTTTTTCTTTTTCATTACGGCTCGTAACAAAATAACAGAAGTCACTGCCATTGCAAGCCACATTTGTCGTCATTATCGCATCGTCGTTTGTCATCATTTTCATCAACGAACCAGTCTACCAAGAAACAGGAAAAAGCAAGAAAAAAAAATCTCCCAAATTTACAAAATCGAGGAAAAGAGTACACTTGTAATTGACAATCAAATCTATTTCATAATGGTTTTGGCTGCCTTCATTTAGCATTTACAGAGCCATAAATATTTTTTTACATAAGAAGTTGCAGCATGAGAGTGAGAAAAAAAGTCGTAAAAAACTTTAAGTCTACTAAACGGCAACTTAATTATATGTACCAACTCAGCTAATGCGTGTTCAACCATAAATCATTTTTTTTTCTGTTCTTTTGATCAGTTAATAAGAATTCAAACCCTAAAACATCCGACATGATGGTGATGATGAAGGGACTTTTCCTTATCAATTAATCCACGGACATTCCTAAACTCCTCTACATGACAAGGGATTGTGATCGTGCCCTTCTGATCGAACCCGTACTCTTCTTCAGCTTCTTTCAACAGCTGCATGAACAAAGGGTGATTGAAGTATATGACTGGCACCACAAATCTCTGTTGCTCCTCCCCTTTTGATCCAACCTTGATAGCCAAACATCCTTTCGGCACATCTCTTGCTTGCTTCTTCCCATGGTGATGATGATGAATACCCATTTCTCCAACCAAAAAAAAAAAGGACCCAAGCCAAGAACAAGAATATCCAAAGGCAAAATCCTTATTTTCTTCACAAAAATAAAAACAAAAAAGTTACAGGGAAGAACAAGAGCAAGGCCAAGGCTCTTTTGCAATGGGTTGTTGGAACAAGTTGAATGAAGAGCATCCGAGAAACCTATGGATGTTGGTGATGGTTGAAAATCCACAGCAACAAGTAAACTCATACAAACCAGCAACTGGATGAGATTATAAATATATATAAAGCTGAAGAAAGTGGAAAAAAAAAAAGGGGTTTTATATGCTGCGGAAAGAAGTAGGGTTTTCTTGTTTTGGTTAACAAAGTTGATTTCTAGACGTTTGATTAGAAGGCAATCTGATGATGATAACAAGAGGAAGATTTGGAGAAGATTGATTAGTTTATCGTTTTGTAACGGACGAAACGGGGCAGGAATGGCAACGTGCGTAAGTAATAGTGAATCGAAGGGGTAAGACACGTGGATGGTGAATTGAGATAGAAAAGGACACGTGGATAGAGTCGGGGTGAGGTGGATTTTATAAAAAAGGAAAGTATGGTTTTACAATTTACAGTAAAAAAATAAATAGACCCAAATATGTGTAAATGAATTAATTATGAAAAAATTTTGCTATATTTATTTTATTTAATTTTAAGATAATTTGGGATCAATTTGAGTTTGGTAAAAAAAAATTCATATTGTATTCGAAGTCGATTTGTTCATACTAAAATATATTTATTAAATAGTATAAAAGGATTCCATATGTATTCACTATTTTCTATTTTTCTCACCATGAAAATGTTTTTAAGATATCTAATTTGTGCTTATGAATTATAGCTCTTTTGTCATTGTAATTTTTAAACCCCACCAATGATAGAGAAAGAAAAGAAAGAAACGAAAGAAAATAAGTGATCATTTTTAATGAAAAAAAATGAAAGATTATCTCTTTCAAAGGCTATCCACTTGATAAAACATAGTAGTTATAAGTTATTATTCAATGTTTTATAAAATAGATTCACCTATGATGACATTACATTATTTTAATAACATGTCACATTATGATATTTTTATATTAATAACAAAATGTCACCCTAGGGTGAAAGATTAGATATTGTGAGCAGTGATGTAGAGGGTCCATTGAGGTTGGTGAGTCAACTTGTGAGGATTTAATTTTTCCTATTTTTTGAAGTTAAACAATTTAGTAAGCTTCATGTTTGTTTGTTTTTTTTTTTAATCAGCAAAAATACTATATATGCTCCCATATGTTGATTACATATGAAAAAATCTTTAAAAACAAACATTTCTAAATATATTCCTATTAATTGTCATTTAAAGTAATAGTATTAATATTTTTATTTACAAAACTCAATTCATCAAATTAAAATATATTTACATTTATACATTTATTATTGAATCAGATGGAATCGTAGTCTATGAAAAACCAGCTGCAACGCATTTGACACAGTGCACACCTTGCAAAGGTCAACTATAAGTCCATGATAATGGGAATTTTGCACATCCTTGCCTAGCTCCAGTAGCCGTTGCTCTAATCATAATTTGGACTTTGAAGAAACAGCATGATCATGTCTGCTGCCCCAAACACTATTGACTTGAAGTAGCATTTCATTGAGGAATCGAACTGGTTTTTGATAATTTAGCCATTGGGGTAATCATTGGTTTTGTGAAACATATTGATTCATTGATTTATAAGGTTCATTTTATAGAGAACTAAGTGCAAAGCTATGGCAGTTAAGGCTAGGTAGAATGAGTTGTAGCCAATACTGTCTTTCTTTTTTCTTTAAGAAAAGAACAAAGGTCATTTCACTGAACCATTATTATTAGACTTTAAATTTAGGCATGAACTGATTCTTAAAATCTTGGTCCATTAAAAAATATTAATATTATTAATATAATTTCTGACATGATGATTATGGATGACAACGATCAAATTAAGGTAGATATTAGTTTGTTTCAAATTTGATTGATTATATACATATAATATTTGAATTTAATTAAAATTTATTAAAATTTTTTATCTAAATTTGATTTCACTCGATATTATATAAAATATATTCTATTCGATTTAACACGAAATTAATAAAATATTATTTTTAAATATAAAATATTATTTTTTTAATATAAATATAAAATTAAATATATATAATTAATTAATTATTAAAAAATATATTTTTATATATATATCAAGTAAAATAGGATCAATTTGCTTAAAATCCAATTTTAATCTAATTTTAATTTTGTTTTTTTTATGATTTGATATGATCTGACTCGATTTTTAATTTTTTAAAAAAATTACTTTTAAAAAATTAAATTAAATCAAAATACATCGAATCAAATCGCCTTCTCTAACAGTAATCGAGGAGATCGTTTAAAGTGAAAATGAAGAACGTGTCAAATTTATTGTAGACAAAGAGGTTCCAGAGGCATCGAAAATAGTACTTCATGGCACATTCCGATACTCAAGTAAGGGTATGAAAAGGAAGTAAGGAAGAAGATAATATACCGAGAAAGAGTGAAAAGAGAGTGTTATATTTTATGAATGATGACATAATTAATTAGCAGGTAACTATCACGTGACGTAGATACTGATAATATGACAGTGATGACAGTTAAAATATTGCTTACCTGCCCATCAAGATATAACATCTATTAATTAAAAACAAAACATAAAAGTCTTTAACGTGGAACAAGGGCAAAAATTGGGTCGTCCAAGTCTTGAAAAATTCAGTTGATGTTAAGAACTCATCACTCAAAAAGCTGGAGAATGTTTCATTGATATTTCTTTACTCTCCGTTCAGTACTAGTAACAGTAGTGCTTTTCTGGCCAACTTGAATCTTCAAAAAGTCTCCAATGGAGAGAATATTTCAAGTTCTTTTTGGATTTTTAATCATCAAATGCAAGGTTCCTTTTGCATTTAAAATAATGATTGCAGCACCAAGTTTAATTCGTTTTCATAGTTTATAAGTTATTTTCAAGGCTCAAAATGACTTTTGATCTTTAGTGGATGAAAAATTGGATTAAGTAGGAGACAAATGGTGGTGAGAAAGTTGCAAAGCTTTAATATTAATAAAATAAACGGTTTAATGCTCACATATGACCAGTCTTTTAGTACAAAAAAGAATTATTTTTTTTTTACTTTTTATATTATGCAAATAAGTTTACCATTTGAACCTAAGGTTTAATCCAAATTGTTCACTAAAAAATTGAGGTTTAATCCCAATACTTACAAATTACACTCTCCAATTTTTCTTAGATTTTAACTTCGCATGAATAAAAAAATAATAAATTTATAATTTTTTATTTTGTAGTAAATATCATCATAAACTTTAAAAAATTGCATAAAAAATCTAATTAACTTAACTAGAGATTAACAGAGAACATCTATGTGGATTGATGACATGGCATAAATGTGGAATAAAAATATCATCAGGGTAGTGTTATAGTATGTAGACACCCATCTCCCAAATCTGTTTTCTCACTGGGAATAAAAAATAATAATAAGTAAAGGTAGAGTTTCAGTTCTAGTGAAACTCTATCAAGAGTTGAATTTTGAAACTGGATAAAAAGATTTTGTTTTAAAACCAAGGATAATAGATTAGGGGATAGAGGGATTTTGATTTTCAAACCCTCGTTCAATCTTGAATTAGCCCTATATAAACCCTAATAACCACAAGAGCAGAGACAGAGAATAAGAGGAGTGAAAAATAAGAGGCAATCAGAATAAAAAATTTTGGAGGAAGTTATAGTTTGCAATAAAAAATTTCAGGGAAGTCAATGTTTCGATTGGGAGATTAAATTTTTTTTTTTGGGATTTTTCTTTTTATTTTTGAAAATTTCAGAATTTAGTTAAATTTTTCAATGAAAAATAAAGTTTTTCGATGAGTTTTCTAGCTGAAATCCTAGTTTCTGGCACTTATTTCTATAATCCGAAGGACCACCCAAAAACCAATAAGTTTTCTAGCAACGTTCAACAAAAAACGACAATCGAAAATTGTCCAGAGAAAGAAACAAAAGAGAAAAAGAGAGAGAGAGCGTAGCATCTGAAGGAAAAGAGGAATTATTTGCCTTTTATACCTGAGCGAAACGATACCATTTTGAGACGTCAAAAGTGATAGGATCCGCGCATCAACCCAGGTCTGACCCGACTTGCAGCGCATCAACCCGTTTACTTGCTTCACTCAGCCTTTGGCAAGCCGCTAAGCCGACCACTGAGCCGTTCCAACCGCATTCATCTCTATATCCATGTCTCTGTTGAGCTGCTCAGCCGAGCCACGCCAAAAGGGTTTTTTTTTCTTTTCTTTTTTTCCTTTAGTTTTATTATTTATTTATTCATTTATTTATATTTATTTATTGATTAAAATGAAATAATTTATTCATTTAATTAAACATTCTTTAATTTTCAATTATCTCTTTAAGATAAAAATTTGAAAAAAAATATTTTTGAAGGAAAGTTTAATGTATCAATTTCCTTTGAACATAAAAATTAAAAAAATATTTTTTGAGGGAAAGTTGAAAGTATCAATTTTTCTTGAAAATAAAATTTTTTTAAAAAAGATTGGTGGTGATTCCTCAAGTCAATGTCTAGCGATAGGTCCACAGATCTAGACATTATGATAGTTTGGTGACTCCGCTGGGGATAAGCTGAGAGTCAAGCCAGCAAATAAGTTTGTGTTATCCAAAAGCCTAATAAAATTGAATTTTTTTAAAAAGATCTTTGTTTATTCATTCACTCTATTTCTTTATTTTATTTATGATATCATTCATATGCATGAGTATAACATGAGCTCTATACCCGAGCTCCGTCCTTCTAAGAGGGAGTTCATGAGGTTTTAATGCCTCCGCAGTGGCTAGAGAAATACTCTCACTCAAAATTGAACATTTTTCGCTTGCAGCTTATAATGGGTGAGGATTGGGATGCCTTACTAGTCTGTGATGGACAATGATGTAAGGAGCTATTTGAGAACCTTTAGATTTCAATCTTGAACCATATATAGTGAACCTTAGAAATGCATAACCTATAGATGAGCCATTTTTTCCCTTTAGCATTGACCAAAAGCATAGGATTCATTCCTCTTATTATGTGTGATGTTTTAATTTATTTATTTCTCTTTATTCGATGTACTAACCTCTTCTTTTATTCATGTTTGCATGATTCATACTTATATCATAAAGTTGTATAAAGAACATTTGCCTGAAAGACAGTCTCCAACAAAGAGTTTTTCATGGACTCCACAAAACGATTGATTTGCTCTTCATCTGCTCCTTGCGAGTTACCAAATGAGGTAAAGGTTCAATCAGAAAAGATCTAACAAAAAGAGGGGGACTGTCTACCCATTGGTCATGTTTCTACCTTGTCTCAAGAAACATCCATCC